AAATTATTAATCAGTTGCCTCCTGTACATCCCACACTGAAGATTGAGCCCACAACCTGGGTAGATTGGTCAGTTAAATTTGGTAAGATTTGATAATAATTGCAGCCATGGGATTTCATAACATTGTTTCTCTCACAAGTTAATTATATCTCTAGTCAAATAAATTTTTTAAAATCTATAAATCTCTGAAAATGAGATTTTCTTAATACAGGTAAAGACCAATATATAATTGTGTCTTTTAAAATCATAATAATAAAATGTTATGTTTTAAGACATATTGTTTTATGCAGGCATTAGATCTATAGAATTTCATTTAAAACATTAATATTTGCTTTGAATGTTTGTTTTCCTATAGTTGGTAAATTTGTTAAGAGTACTTGATAAATTTATAATATTGTAATGGCAATTTTCTTCATGGAAATAAATCAGTAATTCTCTTTCTTAAAAGTGTTTGCTCTTACTATCAAGAAAAATAGCCAGCTCTAGCTGGTTTGGCTCAATGGCTAGAGCATCGACCTGTGTACTGAAGGATCCTTGGTTTGATTGCAGTTGAGGGCACATGCCCACGTTGTGGGTTCAATCCCCAATGGGGGGCACGCGGGAGACAGCCAATCAATAGTTCTCACCCATCATTGATGTTTCTATCTCTCCCTCCCTTTTCCTCTCTGAAATCAATAAAAATATATTTAAAAGGAAAAAAAAGCGAAAGTCAAAATAACATTCCAACCATAGTTAGTGTGACTGAAGAGAAGAGAAAAATATAGAGTGAGAGAGATAAATGGATAGCTTGAGGGAATGCATTTCAACCTAGAGTTGACAAATTCTATGTTCAGAGCCCAAGAACTTTTCCAAACTTAAGAAATTCCTAAAGTGTTAAGATAATAAACCTCACTCAAGACTGTGTAAGGAAAACTCCCCATCTAGTGCACCTGTATATTATTTTTATTTATAAAATGTCTGAGTCTGAATGTTGTTTTTTAAAATATGTTTTTATTGATTTCAGAGAGAGGAAGGGAGGAGAGAGATAGAAACATCTATGATAGAGAAACATTGATGGGTTGCCTCCTACATACCTCCTACTGGGGACTGAGTCCACAACACTAGCATGTACCCTGACTTGGAATCGAACTGGTGACTTTTTTGTTCATGGGTTGAAACTCAATCACTGAGAAAAACAATAGCCGGGCTGAATTAGTGTGTGTGTGTGTGTGTGTGTGTGTGTGTGTGTGTGTGTGTGTATGTGTGTGTGTGTTTTGTTGTTGTTGTTTTGTTTTATTTTTAATAAGTGAAAACAAACTTTCAAATAAAACTGAAAAGTTACTGCTTAGTTTTTTTTCCTAACCTGTACTAATTTTTCTTACAAAAGATTTTTTACAGAGCCTGTTGTTAATTGTTTTCTGATGATTAGGTATTGTTTCTATTTTTAAAATAAAAATTATACTAAAAATGAGGTGCTTAATTCATTTATTTGTATAGGACACAGGCCAACGAATATTCCCTTGTTCAAATTTATTTTTATTTTTATTACATGTAAACAGATAAGTTCTTCATGTATGCAGTTGGGAATAAGGAGTTTTATTACATTCCTCTCAGATGAGAATTGAAATAACACTATAGGCACAATGTTATTTTAAAAATAATTGGGGGTTATTTGCTGGGTAATAGAGTTGGGTATAAGGCTGAGATTTATAGCATTTCCTTTGGGAATTTAAATTATGTAAGTATGAAGATCACATACAGTGTTTATTTTTCTTAAAAATATATTGTGAGGAATCTATAAATATTAACAACAAGAACAGAAACTTGCCCACATTCTTCTCTGTGAGAAGTGGTAATAAGACTTCCCTGCAAGGATGGAGAAATCTGCTTGATAATGACTTTTTGTAATTAAAATATTTGACCTCATGGTGGGTAAAATGTTACATGGTTTGTCCACCATTAGAAAATTAAAATTATAATTGCAGATAATATCTATAAACAGAAACCCAATATTCTAATAAATTTTATAAGAAAATAGTTGCAAAAAATCTTATTATAGGGATTCATTCTATGACATATGTCTGTTTTTATCTATACATACTATTTACACACACACACACACACACACCTACTTAGTTGCTTTGATTAGTTTCTATTTGATATTTAACTTAATCACCAAGAGGAGTATTCTTGCAATTTTGAAGTCTCTAAATTAAACATAAACCTGTAAAATATGGGGGGGGGGTGAGGATTTAAATTGGAAAAATCAATGTTCCTGGATGTAATTGAATAACAATATACTACAATCCAACAGTATAACTGTGATGTGAACCTGTATAAGTCTAGATTTTTTTCTAACTTTATTTTCATTAATTAATCTTAAATAAAAATAACTATTCATGCTACACTCAGAATTAAACTGCAGAAGCAAACAAGAATAACTACATATAGATTTTTCTCGTTTTCATAGGTTCATGTTTACCTTTCTTCCTTACATTGCCTTAGTAGAAGGGAAGAATCATAGGAAATGTTCCTGGAGAATGAAAAGGAATGAAAGAAGTAGTAGATCCAAAAAAGAATTTATATCTTCTATCACTGAAAGTCATAAATAGCATGATAATTATATTACTTTGGATAGCCTTTCCTTTACAACATACTGAACATAATGAAAGTAAAGACTTTCATTAAAACAGTTCTTCTCAAAGTGTGTTTCCTAGAATAGCAGTTTTAGACCACCTGAGAATTTGTTACAAGTGCAAATTCTCACAGTTCACCAAGACCTGCTGAATCAGGAACTCTTGGTGTAGGGTTCTAGGACTGTTTAAACAAGCCTTGGAGATGATTCTGATCTACACTAACATTTGAGAGTCATGGCCTTAATGTAGGTGCTTGCTTCAGGAATAACAGATTAGCTTTTTCTTTAGAATATTGTCTTTAAGTATTTACTTAAATCTGAATTTCCCTTTCTGGGTTCTCCTTTCTCTAAGGCTGTCCAATCAGATAAGATGAGATAAGGTCAGATAGAAGTAATGGTAAGGCTGTGTGTACACAAAGGATTCATATAATGCTCTTTTGAAAGTATGAAAGAAGGCATTCTGATTATTTCCTAATCCCTAATCATTTAATTGCTTTAAAAAAGATGAAATAATTTAGTTTCAAAGATTAGTACTATGTTTCAAATTATTCTATGATTTTTTGTCATTATGTTTTCTCATGCCTAACAAATATATTACTTAGCATTGTGGCAGAACTTTTATTATTTGGAAGCATTGTTTTAATTCCTTATTATACATGTTTTCTGTATGGATAAAAGGAGTAGTCATATAATATTATATTATTAAATTGAATTTTTAAGATACATCAGTCACATTCTGTAGGAGTAAATGCATCTGTTTTTTTAATTAACATAGCTGTTAGAAGAGCTACTATTGTTGACCTCTCACTGTGCCCAGGTACTTTTCTATGCGCTCTACATGCCTTAGCTGATTTAATCCTCACCAGTGACTTATCTTTTCATTTTTCAGGTGTAGATCATCTAGATACCATATGATAGATTCAGCGTTCCAGGCTAAGCAGTCTTACTCCAAAACACTTTTTGTATTTGCCTGAGCAGAGTTATTTTTTACATTTTTTTTCTTCTTTTTGCATATACTACTCAAACGGTGCTTATGTAAGGTCATATAACTGAAAACTTAATAGTGAACAACATACAGTTAAACCTTCATTCTTGAAAGTCTCCTATCTCAAACAATTGGGTTATTGACCAAGTTGTTCATAAAAATAATGTTTTGGTTGTTGAACCAAACTTTGCACTGGACTTGACAACCCTTTCGTGCAGATACATCATCATGACGAAAGGCATTTCTCACATCACAAACAAAAGAGAGAATGAGAGTCAGTTTATTTCTAAACCTCTCTTGTTAACATCTCATGATATTGTGCTGTGAATATTTTTTCTGTTGTTGGTGGTGGTAGTGTGTGTGTGTGTGTGTGTGTGTGTGTGTGTGTGTGTTTCTCTTTTGCTTTGTTGCTAGTCAAATGGATGCTTAGCACAATTTTAAAATTTAAATAGGCCATCAAGAGTGCTGATGTTGCAAAAGATGTGAAAGAAACAATGATCACAGGCAATTGAAGAGGTAGAAAAACTTGTTGATTTGGATAAGTGAAAATCAGTCAGCTGATGAGGCAGTGATACCTGAAAAGTGAAGAATTGCATACTGACCTCCAGAAAGACACCTGGAAGGAGTATGAAAATGATTCCTTTAAGGCTAGTAGGGGGTGGATCAATAAATTAAGAAAAGAAGTGTGTGTTTATAAATTAAACAGTACATTAGACATGTACTATATACAAGGAAGGTTTAAATGGAATCATTTGGGGATCTGGAATGAATTTATTCAATTTACATTATTTTTAATGGGAAATGATTCTGTTTTATTTATTTATTTATTTTTTTAACAAATTGCTTCTCAAACAGCCTTCTGGAACAAATGAAGCTTGAGAACTGAGTTTGGTAAATACAACTAAGTGGACTTATGAAATGGAACATGCCTACTTTAGCAAAGCAATTCAATTGTATTATGCTGAATTCCAATTATTCCCTTATTTGTTTAGCTTTTGAGGAAATTTTCAGGGAATTTTTTAGATCAAGAGTTAATTCTTTGTAATTATCACAGTGATCCTTGTAATAAGTGTTGAAAAACTATTTTATTTTAGGGATTCAATGAGAGACAAAAAAAGATACATGGAGAACTTCTTTTCTTAAAGCTTCTAGAACTATGAATAGTGTTTGTGGCCCTCAAAGGTTATAGAACCCTAAATCCTCTTCACCATACAGTCATTCTAATTTAGCTGCAGTCTTTGGATAGCCTTATGATTGATATGAAATTTTACCGTGTCCACATTATTCAGTGGATTAGATTGAACTATTATTATTTTCAAAGGTTTTAATTTAGAAATATAAAGTTTATTTCATTTTTTATTTTGAATTATATTTACTAGTCTTTATGTCTTAATTTCAACAGCATCACTGCAAAACTTGAAAGAGCTTTAGAAAAAGTTGCTCCACTTCTTCGTGAAATTTTTGTAGACTTTGCCCCATTCCTATCTCGTACACTTCTTGGCAGTCATGGACAAGAGCTATTGATAGAAGGTATGCTTTCTTTCTCTATTCTAATTATTTTAGTTTCCTATAATGTTTCTATTAATCATGACATAATTTGTACTTCTGGAGGAAAATTTATTGTCAAAGAATATAAAGACATTACTTCCACGAATGCTAATAAGATATTATGTATACTTTCTTCTTGTTCATTTTTTTAAATAACTTATTTGCACAGTCAGTCTTATTGTACAGCTAATAACAGAATGAAGAACTTTGAAAAAGTTGGATGGAACTCTCTGGTCCTTATGATCCTAATCTACAGGAATGCTGTACATTTTTCATTAGGATGCTGTGTATACTAAGCAAGGATCTCTAAAATTTCCTTCAAAGAGCCAGGCTTCTTTAAGTGACTTTTTTTGATTCACATTTGTTATATGAGGATCCTTAACTGAGAAAATGTAAAGAAATACTTTAGTATTTATTGATTCAGAAGAAAAAATTCTGAATAAAATTACTTGAAAAAAAAATGAAACTGGGAATTGAAGCTGTTGTCTTTTACTCAGTAGCAGCTTAAATGGAATAAGAAGGCAAAGAAGGTAAATTAACTCCTGTGAAGATTTAATGCACTTGTAATAGGAGAGTAGCTTTGAAAAAATATTATCTGGAGCCTTAATTATTTAAACAAAGTTTTGTTTTCTAAATAGCCATGAAATTCAGAAGGGGCTAATCAATATGCAGATGATCCTGAGAGTGAATAATTGCTTTAGGTGCCATTTGTTGAATTTAGAAGCCATACATATGTTTGCTTTTCACTTCCTATTTACTCTATGTTTCCTATGCTTTTTCTATCATGCCCTCAACTGCTTTTGCACAGTCTGTTTCTATTAGAAATATTTACTAACTGGACTGAGTTTAAATCCTTATTCCTCCACTTTCTTAGCTCTATGACCTTTTGAGACTAATTTGGCCATTTGTAACTTAGTTTCTTACTATAAATTGTCATCAATGGTAGTACCACCCTCCCAAGACTCTTGGGAAGATCACATTATATAATGCATACAGAGCTTTTAGAACCTATCTGGACTGTCCACTTTTTATAAAAAATATTGCATTCTTACTCTAGATTAAGTGCTATCTTATTAGTAGCTAACAGACAAATATCCCTGCTTTGTGGAGCTTTTAACCTAGCAAGGAGAGACAATAAATAAGCATTACGCATAAATATTTGAATCATACAAAATGTTGAAAGTTGGCAAATGCTATGTAAAAAAAATAAAGTACCACACTAGTGACTGGGATTATAGAAATGGCAGGGTTATATTGCAGCTTTAAAAAGGGTGATTGAATTTTAATAAGCTAATAGTAAAAGTTATATTTGAGCAAAGATTAAAAGGTGAGCAATATAGCTTGCTAGAAGAGTGCTCTAGGCAGAGAGAATTGTCAATGACATGTTACTTTTACAATAAGAAATAAATTGAATAACCATTATTGAAAACATAAATCTTAAATGTTCCCTTATTCCCTAAAAATCTTTTATTTTTCTACTAGAGGCCTGGTGCACTGGAGAGGGGTCCCTCAACCCAGCCTGCTCCCTCTCACAGTGCAGGAGTTCTCAGGGGATGTCCTACTGATGACTTAGGCCCAGTGCCCCCAGGGAGCAGGCCTAAGCCACAGTCTGGCCTCCCTCTTCGGGAGGCAGCCGGCCAATCAGAGGAAGGCACTGCCCTCATCACTCCCTCACTGCTGCTGCCGCTGCTGGCCGGCCTCCATGGCTGCCTGAGCCTTGGCCCTCATAGCCACAGTGGCTGCCTGAACCTGGGCCTGGCCCTCGCAGCAGCAGCAGCTGCCATCCATGGCTGTGGCTTTGTCCTAAAGGGTGTCTTGTCTAATTAGCATATTACCCTTTTATTAGTATAGATAGTTAAGTATATCTTTTCCTAAAGTGTTGTAAAAAATATATAGTAGAAATTTGTAATTATCAAGGACATACCAAAATAAACACAGAACACATCTAGTAAAATAGCAATACTAATAATGGTTCCAGTATTGTTATTAAAACTGGGACACAAATCTGCCCCAAGTTCCCCAGCAGCCAAAGCAAAGAAGTATTTATTTTAAGTTATAAGACTCACATTAGTGGTTCCTAAGTGACAGTTTATAACACTTTAAAATGTAAGGAATTGCTCTCAGGTAACTTTTAATTGTTCTATATCTGTCAATCGGACTCCATTTATGTGGCCCCCTTTTCAGTCATCTGGACTGTTTCTTATTTTCTTCCCAGCACTTCAAAGAGAAGAGAGAAATGGCTGGGTAATCAAGAATAATTTTTCTTGGGCTTCTCTGAGTTTACTCCAATACTCTGGATTGAGTTGAAAGAGCATTAGAATATGCCATTTGGATTTTTTAAAAAGGACTATGCTAAAAATGAAACATTGGAACAAGTTACATATTGAAGTTCATTTTGTGTTCACCAGGCAAAATAAAATTTTATTTTATAACTTTTCTACATCTAAAGTTATAACCTAATTTTAATATATCAGATATATGTCCTGTGTTTAAGATTATACAGATGTATTATTCATATTCTTTTTTGTATTAAAATGATTTTTCTTAATAAAATGACACTAAATGATAGGTCTTAGGTTTTGAGTTCTGTTTTTTAAATGCCATTATTTGGAAAAGTATGAAATTGACAATCTTAAAATATGGTCCTTTAAATTTTTGCCAGTTTATACAATCCAAAATCTAGAAACGTCTGCTATATAACAGAACATTTGGTATCCCTCACAATTTAGTCCTAACCATTTTTTTTTCAGATTCAACTCATCTCTATCTTCTTGCTGTAGAAGACATTCCTTAAATATGCAAACAAGCTATGCATTATCACATTTCCTTGTTTTTCTACAACTCTTCCTTCTGCATTGGATCTTTCTCCTTTTTTCTATCCCCCAAATTCTTTTCATCTTTTGAATCCTGCTTCAGGCTTCTCATACAAATTAATGCCATCTCTTTGTGGTTCTGTGACATTATATAATATTAATAAAATTATTTTTACTTGTAAATAGAAATAATCTTATTGTTTATATTAACGTTGTTTAACTTAGATTTTTTGCTAATCATTTTTGATGAAGGTAAGTTTTAAAAATAAGGGAAGATGGGGAACATTGTTGTGTGGTGAGAAATCCCAATATTGATCATAAACACACATGAGGTAGCTGCTACATTCTTTCAAGGTTCATTTTTGCTCTTCACACCAGCTTCTGGAAACAATGTGCTTTCATGTTCTCATTCTTTAACAAGTACTCTTGATTATTCTTTCATTTTCTTTGTTCCCTTTTTTTTTCTTTCTATAACTTTATATACTATTCATCTCTCTGAAAAGAAAAACTGTCAAAGTCTTATGAAGAACTTAGGATATTTACATGGTAAAAATATCTTTTACCTTAGCTATTAATCAGTTCTGTTTAAAAAATAGTGCTAATGATGAATAAATTGCTTTGCTTTTGACTTTATTATATATATGTATATGGTAGCAACAAAATAAGATTAGGTAACTCTAAAGGTATTTTAGAGTCTTACAGAAAGAAACAGTGAGTACTCTTATTTTAAACTAGAGGCCTGGTGCACGATTCGTGCACAGGTGGGGTCAGGCTGGCACACCCTGATCGGCACCTATTGGGGTGGGGATGGTCCGATCTGAGGCAGGGCCAGCTGGGGGGAAGGGCTGTGGGAGGTTGGTAGGTCAGCCGCAACTTTTAGTTCAACTCCTGGTGGAGGGGACAATTTGCATATAAGCCTTTTATTATATAAAATAATCATAAAATATATTTGAATTGCACTTTGTCTTATTTTATTTTCAGTTTTTTTAACCATCATGTATTTAAATTTTTTCGTATAGGATAATTGATCTTTGGTAGTTTATATTGTTATGTATTTAAAATATAAATTAAGATAATGTTTAAGTTTGTCACTTTAAAAAAATATATATTTTATTGATCTTTTACAGAGAGGAAGAGAGAGGGATAGAGAGTTAGAAACATCGATGAGAGAGAAACATTGATCAGCTGCCTCTTGCACACCCACTACTGGGGATGTGCCTGCAACCAAGGTACATGCCCTTGACCGGAATCAAACCTGGGACCTTTCAGTCCGCAGGCCAACGCTCTATCCACTGAGCCAAGCCGGTTTCAGCAAGTTTGTCACTTTTATTAGTCACACCTTTTATTTGACTAATAAAAGGACAAACTTAAATGTATTATTGTAGGATTCTAGAGTAATCAATGTAGCTCACATCTTTTAAAGGCACTCATTAACTGTAGATATTTTTATATAGCTTTTGGTGTGTATATGTTTCTCTTGGCAATAATTAAGGATTTTTTTTAAAGACGGTAGTTATTTGAGCTTAGCTAATTTTCTTTAAAAGGATTCTAGCTTTTCAATTTGCAAACTGATACAGAAAAAATAGAGTAACTACGTATGTAACTTTCAAACCTATCAGCCCATGATGACAAAGCAACCTTTGATCCAAACTTGTTATATTTGTCTTGCTGCAGCAATTGAGAATGCAATTCAGAGATACTGTGGAGCTTCTTTTAAAGGAGTTATGAGGAGCTTATTTTGAAGTTTGTATTTAAGTAAATGGGGCCAGTTATATATTGTCAGCAGGTGGGTTAGATAGTGCTAATTTTTATTTTGGGGGCCTAAGAACTACAGTGGGCCTAGAGTTGTAATTAGTAATAAAGAAACAGTTACTCAAGCAATTAGAAGAGAAGATGCTTACTTGTGTGTATGTTTGTTAGCATAGTGTGCTCCACTCTGTCTTGTTTCACCATGGCTTAGAGTGGCCCTTTAAAATCACTGTTTATAATCTGTGTGAGCATTTTATATTTGTTTAAGACTCATGAGAATATTTAAATTAACGTAATTATCATAAGGGTACAGCAAAAGTTTCATAAGCATCCACGGACAGGAAATGGACTACAGGCAGCCTAGAAATGGGAGAGGGGAGTTAATAACCAAGGCTACTCCCCTTTAACTCTTAAAGCAAC